CGTTAGTTAGTTAGTTAGTTAGTTAGTTAGTTAGTTAGTTAGTTAGTTAGTTAGTTAGTTTTAGTTAGTTAGTGTAGTTAGTTAGTTATAGTTAGTTAGTTAGTTAGTCCCCACGTTCTGCATTAATAAATGTTTTCTTTAATTTACTCACTTCATTTCATTCTTTCACATCTTACTTATTAATAAAAGAAAATAACAATTTGTATATGCTTTTTTGTTAATGAATTACTAACCAATTATTTATTAAACAAAGAAATAACATTTAAAAGATTTCATCAACTAACTTTCGAATTGGAATTAATTTAAGGAGTATTAAAAGTTTAAAACTCAAAAGTTTAGAGCATTTGTCAGGAGTATTAACGTTAACTTTAATAATCAGCAGTTCTATTCATATTGTCCTGTTTAATTCGACAAAATGTTAAGCAAAAGTAAAATTTAGACTACATTAATTACCATTTAAATTTTGCTAAACAAACAGGCACAAGTCTTTAAATGTTAATTTTGCGAATTAATTTAGATCCTTTTTATTAAGTTTATTTTGAATTTCCTGCAGACTTAAACCTTTCGTTTCAAATACCACAAATAGTATAAAGAAGAAGGCAATAAGACAAGAAATGGCAAATAACCAAAATATATAGAAGGTTCCCAAAGTGCTTAAGAGTGGAAAGAAAAACGATATAATAAAACCTGTAAACAAACAGATCGAAGCCGCTAAAGAAGATGCAACAGCCTTGACATTGGCCGGAAATATTTCAGCCATAACAACCCAGGGTAAAGGACCAAAACTAATGCTGTACGTAATCATATAAATTATAAGCGATGTCAGGGGCAGCCACATAATATCTGAAGTATCTTGGCCATTAAGTTCGATATAGAAATAGGCACCTAAGGCAAATAAAACAATACACATGATACCACTACAGGTTAAAAGAATAATCTTGCGTCCCAAACGATCGACCATGAGAGGCGTGAGAGCCGAAGCAACTACTTGTACTATGCCAATAATAATAGCACCAATAGCAGCATCTACCCCCGTATTGGCGGTTGCAAAAATGGTTTGTGTGTTAAAAAGTACTGCAGTATTTCCCGAAAGTTGTTGAAAAGCCAATAGAAGAGCTGATATAATAAATGCCTTACGATTACCGGCCAATTTAAAAATATCCATTACGCGACCCTTTTGTTGGGAAGTTTCCAGTATAAAATTTTCTATTAAAACTAAAGCTTCCTTTACCGTCTCCTCTGATTGTCCACGCAAAAATTGCAAAGCTTTTGAAGCCTCTTCCTGACGACCATTAGCAATATAATAATAGGGACTTTCAGGCATGAAGATAAAAGTAGCGGCAAATACTATAGGTACTGCCAAACAAAACCATTGTAAGGCTTGATAGGACACATATGGACCAATAACATAGGTATAGAGAACACCACCTTTAAATGAAAGAGAAGAGGTATTTATTATTTTTGATTTACTAAGTTATTTGACACACTTACTAACTATAAACAATTGCATTAGTGAACCCGTGGCACCTCTTATTTCATCAGTTGAAATTTCACTTAAGTACATGGGCTGCACTGTCATAACGAAACCAGTAGCGAAACCTTGTAGGGCTCGCGCCAATACTATAAC